GCGTCCTCTGGCCGCAGGCGGCTGTCAACAGCGCCCGCCCGGCCGGGTCGCGCCCTGCGTCCCCTGGGGCACTGCAGCAGGCGGCTCGCCAAGGTGGGCACGGGCCTGAGCCGCCTCGGCCCTCCCGCCCCTCCCCGGGCTGCTGCTGCTCTGGGGGTGCCCCCACGGCCCCTCAGGTGGGTGCGGGCGGTGCCCTCAGAGCACCACAGGCCCTGGCTGGGGTCCCAGGACAGGCGTTTTGCTCTGGAGGAAAAAGGGGACCGCAGGAGGCACAGAGGTGAGGGTGCAGGACCCCACATGGACGAGACGGGCGAGTCCCGCCTGTGGCCTGGGACACCGGGGGTGCCTGTGTGTGTGCGCCCAAGCCCTCAGAGGACAGTGGAGAAGGGACTGCAGCGTGGCCACCCCCAGCGTGCTGTCTCTGTCTCTCCAGAGATCACTCATACCCTATAGCAAACTGAAAGGAGACGGACACGCCCTCGGGGCACCTCCTGCTGTGAGCCCGGGTGAGGATCGAGTGGCAGCCAGGCAGCCCCCGGCCCCGGCCCCCCGGCAGGTCACGCTGCAGCCGCAGGTGCTGGGGTGCTGGGGTGCGAGCGGCCCCGGGCTCAGAGGGGACAGGCGGCCCAGCCGTGGAGAGGGGACCCACAAAGCAGCACCTCCCCTTCCCCATGACCATGGAGGACGCGCCCAGGGTCTGGGCCGAAGGCGACAGACACAGGGCCGGGCGGGAACTGCACCTGGAGGTGCCCGGGCAGGGCCGGGGGGCAGCCCACTCCAAGGAACACCGTCGGGCCCCACACGGAGGCCAGGGGCCCCACGAGTCCCGACACACCCTGCCACAGGGCAGGTCGCCACGCGCTGGGCCCGTCCCCAGCCAGTCACAGCGGGCGGGAGAGGGTGACGAGGGCCGATGGGCAGCGAGGGGCTCGGCCCTACAGGCCCCGGGAAAGCCGCGGCCTCGCTCCACAGGGGTGGCCTGACGTGAGAGGGGTGGGTGCAGGTGCCAGTGCATGAGAGGAGGGGACCTGGCACAGCGGAGGCAATGGCGGTATGTCCTCGGGAGTCCCGGCCGGCCGAGGTGTGGAGCAGCGCTGTCCACAGTCCGAGCTCACAGTCTGCCCCGGCGCAGGACAGAGTGGGCAGGGCCAGGCCCGCGGCGCGCCCCCTCCTGACACTGGCCTCAGGGCCACCGCCACCGGGCAACACAGTGCTACGCTTCGGCGACACGCAGGCTGGGACGGCCTGAGCAGTGGAGGGCAGGCCGCGCGCCCTGGGCAGCAGGTACTGCCGACCGAGGGCTGGCCTGTGCCCGGCGCTCCTGTCGGGGCGAGGCTGCATCCACAGACACCGCCGCTCCTGAGCTCGCAGCCTGGAACGGGACCGGATGCGGGAAAGGGCCGTGGCAGGCAGGCTGACTGAACATGGGGGCGCCGGACGAGGGGGCCCGGGGCCCTGAGCCCATGGGCTGGCGTCCACGAGGACACAGACACAGAGGGACACCATGAAGAGCCCGAGGCCGGGATGCCCGGAGCTGCAGGACCTGAGTGGATGGGAGGGAGCCTCCCCGGCCTGTTGGGGGCTAGCCCTGCCACCTGGACCTGGACCCGGGGCTCTGCCGCCCGAGTCCTGGCCTGCACCAGCTTTGGCTCATGGAGAACAGCCGAGGGGTGGACCCCCAGCACCTCCCCACCCCTGGCCCCTGAGGCAGAGGCTGGTCTGGGCCTGGCCAGTGGCGCACCGAGGGGCTTCCTGTAACAACGCGCTCTCCCAGTGCCGGTAACTGAGGCCGGGCGCGGCAGGCCCCGGCCCCCGCGTCTGCAGCAGAGCCGACGCGAGGCCGCGGAGAGCTGGGGCGTGTGCCGCACTCCCCCGAGCCCTGAGCTCACCCGGCTTCCCAGAAGCCCCTGGGCTGCCAGGCAGAGTGGTTACAGACAGACGGCCCCGAGCCCCGGGGGGCTGCAGCCCGGGGGCCTGGGGTGGACGCCTGGCTCTGCCACTGGCTCCTGGCAGTGGCTAAGGCTGCAGGTGGGGAAGGGGCCAGCCGGTGCTTGGAGACGCCTGCGGCCCGCGAGAGCCGAGGGGTGTGGTGGCTTTCAGAAGAGCGGCCCAGCAGTGAGGGATGGGCTGGGGGCAGCCAGGACCCTCAGGACCACCTGGGGCGGGGGTGCCGTGGGTGGAACCCTGGGGGGCAGCTGGAGCTGCCAGTCCACCATGGGGCAGGCTTTCCTTGCGGCCAGTCCTGGGCTGAGACGTGAGGCCTCAGAGGGTGGTGGGGCTGGGAGCCCACCGTGTCTCCGAAGCCGCCCCGGGGTCGGGCCGTAAAGGCACCGCCGGGTGCAGGCTGGACCTGGCCCAGCAGGACTGTGCTATTAGGAGACAGCGCGCCGTCCTCGGCCCTCGCCATAGGCCACCACGCCATCCTTGACCCCTGACCCCGCGAGGCACCTGGGCTGGCACCCAGTGGCTGGCCTGAGATGGGACTGAGACTCCCCGTCAGACTGGGCACGCCAGAAACTGCCAACACCTGCCTGGGGAGTCACCAGCATGGCCCCCACAGGTCCCAGCTACCAGGACTGCGAGTGGTCGCCACCCCGGAGGTGGCGAAGTGATGGAACACTCCAGGGTGGAGCGGGGTGATGGCCGCACCACCCGGGGACCGGAGCTGCACACAGGCACGGTTCTCCTTCCCGTGGGCGCCTCCACTAACGTGGAACAGGGCCAAGGCCACACGCGCACACCCAGCCCAGCCAGCGCACGGGCCGCGGGGCGCGTGGCCGCACACATTCCATGAACAGGCTGCCCTCGGGCAACCAGGTACAGGGCAAGGCCGGAACAGCCTGGGCCGGCCTCGCCACTACAGAGACAGACAGCTCCGGGGGTGCCGGGTCGGTCCTCACAGGGATGCCCAGGAGGAGGGACACCCAGGGAGGCAGGAGATACCCAGGGAGGGGAGAGACAGCTCCCAGGGGCATCAAGTGCAGTCCTCACGGGGACACCGGGGAGGCAGGGGACGCCCGGGGAGGGAGAGGCAGGTCCTGGGGCGTCGGGCACACAGCCACCACGGGGACACCAGGGAGGGAAGCATCCCAGGGACGTCAGGCGTACAGCCCCCACGGGGACACCCAGGCAACACAGCAGACGAGGACAGCCCTGAGGGCAGAGTCCGGAGGAGGTGACTGGAGCTGCCAGTCCCCACAGGGCAGGGTCTCCGAGCAGCCCGCACCGGACCGGCAGGGAGCGACGTCCGGGCGTGGTGGGGACCCTGAGCACGAGGGGCATCTGCACTTGCATTCTCAGCTCAGGAAAGAGCAGTTCTCTCAGGCAGCACACGGGTGCAGGTTAACAAGGGGTCCCTCACGGCCCACGGTGCGGTTTGCATCCTGGACTCTGCAGTGGGGACGTCACCAGGCGCACATGCGTGTCCAGACGCCAGGGGAATGGAGGTGGGCATTGTGGCGTGGCCAGCCCGGGGTTTCTCCCGCTCCCGTTCTGTCTCACTCTCAGCATGCACACACACCTTACAGCAGAGCTAAGGCGACAACTAGGCAGTTAAGTGACAACACGTCTTGCTGGGGGACCCTGGGCCACGCTCAGAGCTCTACGTGCCACGGTGACACACACTTGCCTGGCTCAGGGTAGAGGGCCGGCCAGCCTGCCTCCCTGGGTGGACCCTCCCTGCGGCAGGGCTGGGCCCTCCGGGCTTGGGGATTGCTCTGGCCTCTTCAGCTCCTGGGGCTCTGGCTGCCTGACCCTGCGACCCCAGCTCTGCCTTGGTCCTCGGGGACAGAACCTGAGTACTCTCCCATCCCTCTTGGGACTCCGGTCACTATGGAAGCCATCCCATCTCACTTGGTCCACGCTCCCAGAGGCGGCGCCCCTCGCACGAGTGGGGAACATGGGCTTGGAGGTCCAGATCCTGTGGTCCGACTCGCCTGCCGCACGCCAGCGTGGATGACAGGGTGGGGTCTGCGGCCTGGGCCTGACCTCTACCAGGACGGGGTTGCTCCCTGTCTCCGGGCACGGGGAGCTGAGGCTGGCCAGCAGGCCTCGGTGCTGCCCGACTGGGAGGGCCCATTCTGGAGGCTGGGCTGTACGCTGGGGTGGCCAGGGAACGGCACCGAGGGGGGTGCAGGGCATGTGGAAGAGCACCCACGTGGTGGAGCCACCCCTGCCGCCCGTGCCGAACTCCCGCCCTTCCCCGTGCAGAGGCTGCCCCGACCGCCATGGAGTCTGGGCTGGAGGGACCTACAGGCCAGGACAGTCTCACTGCC